CATAGGGAAGGAGGCGGTCCCGAAGATAAGTTGGGCCCAAGCCATGTAGGACTTTAAAGGTCATAACCAACAACTTGTACTGGGTTCGGAAACTAATAGGCAGCCAGTGGAGAGATTTCACCACTGGTGTTATGTACTCTTTCCTAGATGTACCCGTAAGTAACCTGGTTGCCATATTTTGAACTAATTGACGTTTCCGAGTTAAGCACAAGGGTAGCCCCATGTAGAGCGTGTTACAGAAGTCCAGACGTGAGGTTACCAGAGCGTGTATCACAGTTTCGAGATCCCTATTTTCCAGGAAAGGGCGCAGCTGGCGTATCAGCCAAAGCTGATAACAGGTATTCCTGACCGTCGCATTCACCTGATTTTTCATGTGAAGCGACGAATCTAGGAGTATCCCCAGGCTGCAAACACAGTCCTTGGAGGAGAGTGTGACTCCATCCAGAGCTGGGAGTTGTATTCCCAGATCTGGTTTCGGGCCCGTGACTGTTAACACCTCTATTTTGTCTAGATTCAGTCTCAATCTGTTTTTCCTCATCCACAATTGAGCTCAATTTTGGAAGAGCAACTGTCCCCAAGCCTCACACTCTGGGATCTGCCCGAGAGGAAGGAACGGAACCACTGCAAAGCAGTACCTCCAATTCCTAACTCTCAGGCAATCCAAGAGAATGGAATGGTCTATTGTGTCAAATGCCGCTGAGAGGTCCAAGAGCACCAGCAGGGTCACACTACCCCTGTTGATACCCAAGCGGAGGTTGTCAGCCAGCGCAACCATGGCAGTCTCAACTCCATATCCTGTCCTAAAGCCAGTTTGAAATAAAATGCATCCTGTTGGTATATGACTTGGCAAGAATGCTTTGCCCAGCTAATGTGATGGCACATTCCACCAGAGCAGTAGCTACTTCAGCAGTGTTTTCTACTAATTTCCCCATCATTGACATTTGACATCAACCTGTTATCAGATTTGGCTGATACGCCAGTTGCACCCCTTCCTAGAATTGGAGGACCTAAAGATGGTAGTGCATGTGCTGGTAACCTCAAGGCTGGACTTCTGCAATGTGCTCTACATTGGGCTATCTTTTTACCAAGTCTGGAAACTCCAGCTGGTTCAGAATATGGCAGCTAGATTGATTATGGGTACATCCAGGAGTGATCACATCACATCACAATCTTAAAATCATTCCAGTGGCTGCCAATTAGTTTCTGGGCAAAGTACAAAGTGTTGGTTATTACCTTTAAAGCTCTACATGGTTTGGGTACAGGTTACTGACAGGAGAGGTGGGAAAGAAATAATAATAATAATAATAATAATAATAATAATAATAATAATAATAATACATAAGGCAGTCACCTGGAGTACTATTTCTTCATTTGCCATTGTGATTGACAAATTCAGGTTGGCGAATGCCATCTTTGGAAGAAGGGTACTGCTGGAGGTAGTTGGGGACTAGTGTGCAGTCACTTCCCTCCTCATACTTTAGATTGAGGGCTTGGCTATATCCCAAGTTGTGTGGATTCCTCCTCTCACCAACCCAGACAATGACCCATTGGGTATTTACTATGAAGATGCATTCTGGGTTGATGAGAGGAGGGATCCCTCCCTCCCACTGTGGCTGCTGAATCTGTCTCAAGGTGTGATTGGTTGTGTTTGGCTTTTTTCTCAATTTGCTTGGGTAGTAAGTGAATTGGTTTCCAAGATGGCTGAATGGGAGGAGTAATCAAAGTCTGTCTTTACTTTCAGTGAGACCATGTTCTCCTTCTTGTCTGACCTAGGGTGGAAATGGGAGAAAAATGTTACTGCCAGTGGTGCCCCTGTGCTTGGTGTCACCAGGTTTTGGGTCTTGTGTGGCTGCTGGACAAATGAGAAAGGGATGCAGTGCCCTTTCTCATTTACCCAGCTGCCGCGCCAGCCTGACACAAGGTGTACTGCCCTACCAGGTGTACATGCATGCCCCTCTGTGGTGGTTTGCACTCCCTGCACTTGCTAGTGACACCACTGGTTATTGCTGTTTTCTTGGTTAGAAAAACTGAAAACTTTGATTTTGGGCTTGCTTTCATATATTTTGAAAGTTTTAATACTTGTTTTATTAATTTACCTTGCTTAAGAACTTTCTTACATTTAGTATATCTGTTCAGGAGGCTGTAGATTGTTCTCTGGAAGGAACAATGCCTCTTGAATCTTACTGTCAGCTTTTTATGGTATCTCAGTTTGAGATACTTTGTATGCTTAAGAAAAACATAGTTAATGCACCTAAGCAAAGGTAAATAATGTACGATGTAGTCAATGTGAATACAAGCACTTTCAGAAGTAAAATAACTTCTAGTGAAAGGGATCTCATCCACTTTTTCCTCTGGCTTTATTTCAGTGGTAAGAGACTTCCAAGAGTATATGGAACCAGGAGAAGACTTTCCAGCTTCTCCACAGAGGAGAAATACTTCATTACAAGAAGACAAAGATGACAGCATCATTTTACCACTGGGTGCAGATACACTAACATGTAACTTAGGCATTCCTGTAGTAGTAGTTTGTACAAAGGTTTGTTTCATATTTCAGATTATTTTTACATATATTAAGGCCCACAATGAGGCTAAACTCCTTAAAATAAGTGGGCAGGACATCTATAAAGCACAGTAGTTTTGAGGGCTGCATATTAATAGTTTATTAGCATGGGCATTTTTCACTGTGTCGGTTAAGTGTTAACAAATTAATTTATCAAAAATATTTTATAAATCAGACATTATTTTATAAAAAATATTTTATAAATCAAACATCTATTTAAACTAACATCTTTAATTCTCAGACAATTTAATATAGATGCACTATTAGCACTATTTCTGTTTAGAATCTGCACAACACCTTTAAAATTATTTATTATATGTATTAAATTTCACTAACATCACTTTTTAAAATGAGTTAAGTGTGTATGAGTCCATTAGGATTTTGAGTTCCTACCTATGTACATAAACTTTAGATAGGGATGAAACCTGTAGCCTGCATTTGAACTTTTAAGACATTATTATGTTCCTTTGGACTGCCCTTCCCCGAGAGAAAGTATTACCATATGTGAGATACATATTCAGCCAATGATAGCCATTTTGAACCCAGTTAACAACTTGGCTATAGTATGAAACCAGTTGTTGAGGCTGCGCACCAAAGCATAATTTCACCATGTGGCAACTCAAATGCTAATTCTGTGTAAAATCAATTGCAAACATCACATACTTTGTCAAAATTTATAAATCTTATGCTTGTAATCCTATTATGCTGTAATAATTGTAATTCACAAAAAGTGCCTTAGTATTTTCTGTCTCTATGTACAGTCTAAAAAGGGTTCTGAAACAGAATTATTTAACTGTGTAGGAAGTAGATATACATCTCAGTTTGACACCATTGATGTTGCTTATTTTATTTATTTATTTATTTATTTATTTTATCCCACCTTTCTCCCAAAGTGGGACCCATATAACAACGTATATAAAACACATTAAAATAATAATTAAAATAGTACAATTAAAACCATAAAAATATAAAAAAATTCAAATATAAAATTTAAAAGAGTTAATCATCATCATCATCTAAAACTAACCCCTCATCCCCCAATGAAACCAAGCCTACAGGATTTTAAAAGGCTTGCTTAAATAAAAATGTCTTCGTCTGCTGGCGAAAGGCCAGCAGGGAGGGGATCAGCCTAGCCTCCCGCGAAAGGGAGTTCCACAAGGTGGGAGCAGCCACTGAGAAGGCTGTCTCTCGTGTCCTCACCAAATGAGCATAGGATGGTGGTGGGACAGAGAGAAAGCCTCTCCTGAGGATCTTAGGGCTCTAGGTGGTCCGTATGAGGTGATACGGTCTCTCAAGTAGTCTGGTCCTAAACCGTGTAGGGCTTTGTAGGTCATGATCAGTTTGGAAATGAACTGATAGCCAGTGAAACTGTTTCAATACAGGAGTTATACGCTCCCTATAACTGGCTCTGGTCAGTGTTCTAGCTGCAGCATTTTGGACCCGCTGAAGTTTCCAAACTGTTTCCAAAGGCAGTGTAGAGCATGTTACAATAATCCAAACAGGATGTAACCAAAGCATGTGTTACCATAGCCAGATCTG